CGAGAGGTACGCGTGCCGCTTCTTGTGCCTAGCATGTTGCAGTTGACCTGCTTCGTCGTGGTGGCGTGAGCAAGCTCTAGAGACGGTGTGGATCATCACGGTGGGCTGCTCCAGTGGGATCTCCACATCCACATGCTATAGACTAATACTTTGCCTATTGTCATTCATGCTTCTCGCTCAGCACTTAATTCTATTTGCTCTTTAATTACTAACTAAATTATTTTTAGGTCGAACTCCCACAGAGACGGCGCTGTTCTTTTTATTTTTTTATGTACTATCATTACAAAGTAAATATACTTTGTGAATTGCGATGTTCTTGGTTGTGCTTTCAGGGCAACCCACCCTAAACCCTCGTAGAACGTCCGGGAGTGGAAGACATTGCCTCCAAGCGCAATAAAATGGACCGTGAATGTGCCTTAGTTGACCCACCTATGGAGGTGCAAGAGGAAGTTCTTACTGTAAAAATGGCAACACATGAGATAGTACCAGAAGAAAAAGGTAGCCTCCACTCAGCTTAATTCATCTTAAATTTGGAATGCATAGGCTCAATGCTATATTTAATAGTTTAAGTCAATTTAAGTTGTTTGATTACTACTTTTATTCAATTAAGATATGTTTGATTATATATTAACCATCAACGAAGATACATAAATTTGGTCTCCAAAATTATTTATTATTTATGCTTTGATCATCTGGATACAGAAGAGAAGAAAACGGATATAGAGATTGAAGTAATAATGGAACCTGTGGGGGATGCACAGATAGTTGTCGAGGAGGAAATGCAATTAGACTCTAACAAAAAAATAGATACATGTGGTGAAGAAAAAATGTCGAACACAGACGATGCCAAAATAATAGTTCAACTAGAACGAGATGAGGGTAGAAAGCGGAAACGTGCTCATGAGGATGTCGTACGTAACAATCTCTCAATCAGCTCACATATCCTCACACATAAATATCTATATAACAGGATCACTGATATTCTATCTATAGAACACAATATTTTCCATTCCTGCAGTTTCTATCTTCAGTATTTCTTCATGCAACCATACTGTATTGTCCCATGTTACAAAGCCTGGTTATTTTGCAGTACATCTTGCACACATGTATATCATGTTTTTATATAGTTATGGTTTATTGATAAAGAAAAAAGTGGCATGGATGAACACCAATGATATTTTGCAGTACATCTTGCACACATGTATATCATGTTTTTATATAGTTATGGTTTATTGACAAAGAAAAAAGTGGCGTGGATGAACACCAATGATATTGTTAACGGAGCCAGTTTTTAGATGTAGCTTAATGGGGCTATAGAGCACAATATTTTTATTACATATGCAGATTAGTATTATGGATGAAGACGAAGTGCAGATCCAAGACAAGGTCCCAAAAATATTTGATGTAGAAAAAGACGAAGACATTAAGCTTGTTGACGAGGAGGTTATGGCAATCCCTCAATATAATAAATCTAAGAAGGCAAACAATGCAAATGTCCTGCTAGAAGGTGAGACGTCCTCAATTAGTAGAGATTTCTTTATATTTGGGAATTAATTAAATATAATATGAATAAATATTTTCTCTGTAGATTATGAGTGTACACAAGAAGATGTTCAGGTAATTGAATACATGAAACAGAAACATATGGATGATTTACTCATCCAAATCGATGATGCTTGGGTAAATAGAGATTATGAATTGCCTTTTCCATGATCATGAACACGTCAATGGCGGAGTAAGCATGCTTAACACTGCTTTTAAATTAACTAGCTGATGTCCATGTGGAAAATGTGGTAATTATTTATTTGACAAATTAATAAATTATAGGTCATAAGTGCGTATATCCATTTGATGCGGCATGAAGAACACCTACTTCATAGAGAAGGTGGAGATGTTTATATGGAGACTACATTTATTACTCAATTGCTCCGTCGCGACGGAAAGGTTGATGCAATGACATTGAGCTATAGTAGAGATGACATGATTCAAACATGGGTCCAAAATTATTTAGACGCTGATATAGTAAGTTCGACCACAAGATCTGATATATGCTATTTTCTGTTAATTGAAACATATGGAAAAAATTTAGAAAAATCTCTATTACTACATGTGTTTCTTTTAATTAATATTGAGAAGTATCACTAGTACCTAGCGCGTTGTCAATGCTTCGGAAGGACAGATACATGTTTTGTATTCTTTTGGAGAAAATATGTTACAATGGCAAGATCTCGACTACACGGTATGACTTAATGATTGATTGTATATAAATACATAATATTTTTTTAAAATTTGTTAATATCCTTTTCTAAAACTCGGTGTTCCAGTCATAGCAGTTAATAGGAATGGAATGCAACAAAGCATAGTCAGTTGAACCCAAACAAATGGGAAAAGGGTATCGGAGTGGCATCTTGACCAAAAATACATAAGATCATCGAAAAAATACAAACAGATGGGTAAAGGATCATCTAACTTGTTGTGTATATGACATTGTCGTACCAGCAACGTTATCTTTATCACTCATATTTAATTTTTTCAATATTACACAGTGTAAGCTGTGGTTTATGGATGATTAATTTCATGGAGTATTGGACTGGAGCTTCTTTATTTGACCATATGGCCCAGGTAATTTCATAGGAATATTTCTAAAAATAGTCATTTTTGGACTTGTTAATATATCAAGACTTACTCATATTTTCAGGATGAGATAAGTAACTTTAGGTTCAAGCTACCTGCGATCTTGTATAACTCTCCATTAAACATAGCGAGAGGGAAAAAGGATGATGTGCAAGATAATGAGACCAGCCATAGTCTGGATGATGCTGTCATAATGTTCGATGATATGGACGAGGTGTCTTTTTTACTGTGAAGTACAATAACATCGACAAACAAGACAGACCTATCGTCTGCAATTTGCGCAAACATCCATTTGATGGTCAATGGTGAACCTTTGGAGCAAGTCATTCTAAAGAAATTTGTTTTGTTCTAATTTGGATATTTCCATTGCCCGTGAAAGAATTGCTAGAATAAGTAATTTGTTGCTTGTCCTTGTTTTTTTAGCAATGAATGGATCCAAAGCACATGACCATATCCAATTTCTTTAAGTGCGAGAAACATTAGAGATATTTTAGATGAGAATAAAAAGATGGATCATGATTGCTTCAATATAGCAATTCGGATGGCTACGTAGAACAAATTCTTGTTGATGAAGAAATAAAAACAAAAATACCACTTTATGGATCTCTAGTTTGATGTAAGTTCATCTAATTCTTAATTCTATAATTAATCAAATACTTATAAATTTTGCAAAATCAATAGTTCATAACCTAGTTTGGACGAGATCCACGATGTTGTGGCAAACTAGACCACAAGAAACTAGCAAAAGTGCTCGAGTGCTGGCCTGACATAGAATACAAAATTAAAGATTTCAGCAATGTAAGATGTGTTTAATGTACTCCTTTTATATTTTATTTATATATATTATACTTTTTAAACACTTATATTATATGTCTATGTTTTTAGATTCTAGTGTCATATTATCGAGATGGACTATATACTTTATTCATAATGGACATACAAAAGAAAACTGTGCACATTATGGATCCACTCCCAGATGATGTATGTTACAAGAGTTATGCTCAAATCACGCCATATATAGCTACATTTCACACTTTGCTAAAAGGTTTAGTCTCGCTATCAAACTAATAAATTCTAAGTGGGACGACAATATTTATTATTGGAAGCGAATATTCCCTGCATGTGTTACAAAAGTTCCAAAACATAAAGACTGGTAATCACCTATAATATGTTTCATCTTTCTTATTATCACAAAATAGTTATTTGATTTATGTACAATAAATGAAATAAATGCTCATCTGCAGAAAATTAGGAGGTTTCCTTGTATACAATTTTATGAAGTCATGGGATGGTGTAAGATTGCCATCGATCAACACTGTAAGCATATATTCTCTAACTATATTCCGTACACTACATACAAAATTAATAACTTAACTTATTATATCTACCATGTACAGCTATCAAATTCACCGAGGATGGAATTTTTGGGGGACATTCTTAAGAGCCATGCAAACGAATGTTTTAACAACTTTCCTAAAGATTTTCAAGTCATGATTAAGGACTTAGACATATTGTAACTTAAATGGTTATATGAGAAAAAACTTTACTATGACTTCTTAGTTTTTCGGATTGTATACATGCTCAAAGATATTGTGTAAAAGTTGAACTATGAAAAAAAACATTGGTTGTTTTCATGTGCGTCTCCAAGATAAATTCGTTACGTTAGCACGGGTATTATACTATATGAGAAAAAAACTTTACTATGACTTCTTAGTTTTCCGGATTGTATACATGCTCAAAGATATTGTGTAAAAGTTGAACTATGGAAAAAAACATTAGTTGTTTTCATGTTCATCTTCAAGATAAATTGGTTACGTTAGCACGGGCATTATTCTAGTAAAAGTGGTAAACGAAGAAGTGCAAAAAGTTAAAAATCCCGCTGGTGGGCGAGAGGAGTTCGAGCCTTTGAGGGCTTGAGGCCATGGATGGCTGGATCATGCCACAGGGATCCGCCGCCCACTTTGCGTTGTGGTACTTTGGTAGAGTAGTTTCTATAGCATCTATCCATTACCCTTTAGCCTGTTCGTTTCGGTTGAAACGATCGTGTATTATTACTGCTGACTGATTTATTGTGAGAGAAATATACTGTTCTGACTTATAATCCACGATCGTTTTCGACCAAGTAAACAGGCTGCTTATTTGTGTATCTCAAAACCCTTATTTGTGTGCCTTAAAAAATGATCCATCCTTCAGCCACGTCACCTCTTATTCCCAGCCATAAGATTCACGGTTCTCTCCATCAGTTCGCTCCCACTACGACACCGTCCGTACACACCACGCGCAGCACCGTGCAGCCTCCAGAAGCATCGCCACCAGGGGAAAAAAAAGGAAGCAGCCCGAAAAAAAAAAATCAGCTCCCTCCATCTTCACGGCCTCCGCTCCCTCCCCGCGGGCGCTTCCGCCGCCGCCGCCGCCACCGCCGTGCGTCCACAAGGAAGCCACCACGACCTCTCTTCCGCGTCCCTGCGATCCACGGCCCGGTACGCCCACGCCGGCACAGGTCGCGGGACCGATGTAGCCAGTGGCCGGAGCCCTCCCCAGTCCAGCCCTCTGCGGCGTACGCAGGCGGCACCGGCGGCATAAGCGGCGCCGGAGGAGAATCCCTTGGGCTGGCCCCGTCTCCGCTGGCCCGGTACACCGCGAGTGCCCTTCCTCCTGCGCTCCGCCGGCGACTCCATCGTGACTTCTTCGCGTCCGTCTCCGCTGGCCCGGTACACCGCGAGTGCCCTTCCTCCTCCGCTCCGCTGGCGACTCCGTCGTGTCTTCTTCGCGTTGTTCCTCCTTCCTGTTGACGGTGAGCACTTCAAGACCTATTTTCTGTTCCCTTCGTGTGTTGTGCGTTCCAGGTGCTCCGGTGCATTTTAGGTGCTCGATATAATGCCGAACCAACCAAAAAAAAGGCCTGCCTACGTTGAACCCACTATTTTTGACATGTGCTTTGCATTTCAGGTGATCCATGGAATTCCAAAACAAGGAAAAAGAAAGGGTTGCCTTTGTGTTCACTATCTGCTGTAGGCAAGGTCAGGATGCTTACCGTTCCTTTTGTCTATGCGGATTGAACAGTACAGTCTTATTTTATGCACACCAGCAGATTCTATGTGTCTCTTATTTTTCCTTTCCTTACTTCCAGTACCCCTTCATTTAAATTGTTTATTTGTTCAAATGTCCCATGCATGTGCAGTTTGGTATTGTTCCTAACATTCAGGATCGTCGATACAGAGAAGACTGAAACATTGACGTCAACAAGCACCACAGCATCATCTTTGGGTAAGAACAGCTGCTTCTGATCAGATAATCTTTTTCAGTTTTATTTCATTGCCAGTGCGCAGGTATCTTTCATGTCGATACTCTGCTTGCAAATCTCTGTGTGTTTGATTGTGTCTACGGTATCACCATTACTTTGCTTACGTGCTTGCTTCAAAGTAATAAAGCAGAGACATTGATCCTTTTTTGTTCTACGATTGATTTATTCTGGTACTCTAACCGGTTGTTTATCATACTCAGCCTGTTCGCTTGCTTGTAAACGATCGTAAATTTCAGCCGGAAACAGTGTTTTTCTTTCACACCAAACCAGCCAGCAATAAATAATCCACGATACGATACGGCCTCCCGAACAGGCTGAGTACTGTCCTTTGCCCTCCAACTGCCTGCGTTGTAGGTTCTTCCATTATGGATAGAGGCCACAAACGCAAACCTACTCATGTCGATCAGCCACATACAGGTAATGTTGTCATCACCAGCACTGGTGCTTTGATTTATTACTGTTGTTCCAGTAGTTGCCTTCAGTACGCGTGCACATAATCATTCATTGCCTTTTCCTTTCTGATACAGCCAGTGGTTCCTAACACTAGAAGGGAAGTCATAAGCTCCCCCCCCCAAAAAAAAAAAAAAGTGATGTTATAAGTAACAATTACTATTGTGTCAATTACTATTTTTGCAACAATAGTCAATGGTTGTATTGAGATCCATCATTCTAATGGCAGTCGAATAAACCTCCACTCATGCACAAGTTACAATATATTTTCACCTATCATAGTTTTAGCCTAATGGATATAATCCGTACTTTTCAGCTTGTTTTTTCAGCCGGAACAGTGTTTTTCTCTCACAACAAATTAGCCAGAACAGTGTTTCGGCTTGTTTTTTCAGCGAAGTGAACAGGGCCACTGGAAATCAAGATTTAACACCGTTAACTTGGAAGGAAAAAAGAACGCTTTGCCCCTGTTTTTCATGTGTAGCACATTGTCCAAAATATCATGCTGTCATAGTTCATATATAATCTATTCAGAGAAATGGTACTGCGAAAATTGTTCAATGTTAAAAAATGTACTGCCAAAATATGTTCAATGTAAAAAAATGACACTTCATAAATAATATGTGCAGAGAAATGGTACTGCAAAAATTGTTCAATGTAAAAAAAATGTACTGGCAAAATACGTTCCATGTCAAAAAACGGCACTGTTAAAAAATATGTTAAAAAATCACTTTAATGTGCTGTTGGTGTTACACATGAAAAATATAGGGGCAAAATAGTCTTTTCCCCATCAAGTTAATGGCTTAGTGGTCAGATCTAATAATAAAAGCCGGTGCTATTTTGAAGAACTTTTATCTTTCGATGCTAAATAAGGAATCACGTCATTTTGTGGTGCTAAATAAGGAAATTTCTCTTTTGAACTAGACTTCAATCTCATGGTCCATGGTCTGGGTTGTCCTAAAATTTTCGAGGCGCTATTAATACGAGGACCCATCAGCTTTTTCTGTTTGTGGTCTGGGTTGTCGTTGCTACGTGTCTAAACTAAAATTTTCGAGGCGCTATTAATACGAGGACCCATCAGCTATTAAAACGAGAGATTGTTGAAAATTTCAGTAAGAATTTTATGAAAATATTTTAAATCGAGCCATAGATTACTAGTACTAATATAATTACAGTGTTAGTGACTTAGTGTGTACACCTATATATCTAGCCATGAGAACCGAGGGGCCACATCGTATGGATGGGTGGTCCTCGATCTCCTCACGAAGATATGCACTCGATCCGGGTATGTGTACAGGTAGCGCCCAACCGCCCAAGAGCTGAAGGACACACGACGTAGATACGTTTCACATCAATGATAGGATGCGCGTGATTTTGCTGTCGTCCCATGCATGCGTGTTCACGTGTCACGGGCGATTTTTCTCCGATAGTTGCTGGACACGCATCGGCGAGACGGCGACATTCGTAGTCGTAGCAGCTAATTAAATCGAGCGCGAGGCCAGGCGCCATCGGCCATTCACAGTTGACGCGACTGACCGGCCGGGAGCGCACGGCGAGCTAGAATGGCCACAGCCGGCGGAGGAGGTGCCGGGAAGCTGAAGCTGCTGGGCGCGTGGCCGAGCCCCTTCGTGAACCGCGTGCGCGTGGCGCTGCACCTCAAGGGCCTGGAGTACGAGAACGTGGAGGAGGACCTCACCAACAAGAGCGACCTGCTCCTCGCCTCCAACCCCGTCCACAAGAAGGTACCCGTGCTCCTCCAAGGCGACAGGCCCGTCTCCGAGTCACTCGTCATCGTGGAGTACCTCGACGACGCCTTCCCCGGCGCCGGCCAAGCCCTCCTCCCCGCCGACCCCTATGAACGCGCCGTCGCTCGCTTCTGGGCCGCGTACGTCGACGGCAAGGTAATAGGAGGCGCGCGCATGATTTACATTTTGTATGTACACGCACGCTGACACGGTGCGCGCATGCATATATGCAGTTGCACGGCATGATGGTGAAGGCGATCCTGGGGGCAACGGAGGAGGAGAGGGCGGCGGCGACAGCGGACGCGTTGGCCGCAATGGACACGCTGGAGGGTGCGTTCGCCGAGTGCTCCGGCGGGAAAGAGTTCTTCGCCGGCGACGCGCCCGGGTACCTGGACGTCGCGCTGGGGGGCTTCATCGGCTGGCTGCGCGCCTGGGACAAGGTGGGCGGCGTCAAGCTCCTGGACGCCGGCCGGATCCCACGCCTCGCCGCGTGGGCGGAGCGCTTCGCCGCGCTCGACGTAGCCAAGGAGGTCATCCCGGACCCCGACCACATCGCCGAGTTCGGCAAGGTGCTGCAGGCACGCTCCGCGGCAGCCGCCGCTGGCAACTGAGCTCACAAGTGAATGCTGCTCTGCCTTCCTGATAAATCATGGTTTGTTGTTTGTTTCTCTTGTTTGTTTGGCTGGCGAGGATAAAACATGGTTTGTTCACTGTAATGCTTGTTCTTTGTAATAATTGATTGATCGATGAACATTGGCTCCTGTCAATTCGTTCAAGAAAAAGCAGATTATTGATTGTTCGTGTAACAATTAGTATTTGCTGTATAGCCCTATATATGTTGTTGTTTGGCTCCTGCGCAACTTAATTAAGTTATTAAGATGTGCTGTTTAGCATTGTTAAGGCCACACCAAGCACAGTAGCATGGTACTACAATACATTCATGTTTTTAAAAAAAAAAAAAAATAAAACCCGAAAACTTATTAGGCCACCGCCAACGTGGGCTAACAAGTGTATTAGCTTGAAAAAAAAGCAGGAATACACGTAGGCATGTAATGACTTGGACTCCCAAGCCCTCATTGCAAACTACAACAAACCTAATCCACCTGCTGCAGTACTAGGACCCAATGTACTGACGTCTCCTACTTTTCTTCAGTGTTTTCCGACGCTTTACAGAGCAAAGCCACCATCCAGTAGCATCACAACGCGCTCCTACATGCTTCCTCCAACTTTTGTCAGATGGAGCAGTTGTATCTCCTGCAGGAGATTTTGACGTGCTGCGGAGCTACAGCTTACGGTAACATGGAGAATCAAAGCGGGCGTGGTTCTAGGGCAGTACTCCACGCTGTTGCGTTAGAGAAGCTCTTAGGGGCATAACGACATGTGGTGTTTCTATTCGTACAAATAATTAATTATGATATGTGTGGTTCCTGATGCCAATATAATATGTGTGTAGTTTTGAATCACCCGGTGTGGATCGAAGTAGAATGGGTGGTCCTAGATTTGTAAATTAATTTAAAAAAAGGGTGTCTACCCGTAGCCTGAGTTTTTTTTATATCAACTGCACTTTATTCTTATATAGTGCATATGAGAAAATGAATAAAAACAAAATTGATTAAGGGGTGTTTTACATGGCTCCTCCTGAGAGGCTCCTCTAGAGGCGTCAGAGCCGTTTTGGAGGAGCCACAATTTGTAGTTTCTCCAAAACGGCTCATCTGCTTTTTACTAAAAACAGCTCCTTCAGGAAAAACGTTTGGCAGGACTCCTTTGGAAGAGCCAGAGTCGGAGTCGGAGTCGGAGAGTAGTCCAGCCAAACAGGCCCTCCGTGTCTGTCAAGATAGATTGTATAACAGTAGATTTATTAGTATCACCCAAGAAGTGCTAAGCCTTGGCAGCCACAGTTTGGTGGACGAATTGGCACCCACGAAGCGGCCATCTGCAAACGAGGCTCGAAACTATCCGTACCCATTTTATTTCCGATGATTCAGGTCGTGTTCATTGACCCACTCGCCACCTACCGCGGGTCCGCGCGCAGCTCCTGTCTTCGCTGCAGGGGTGCCCAGCTATGGCATCAGACGACGCGGCGGCGGTGCGCGTGGTCGGCGGGTGGGCGAGCCCATTCGTGATGCGGGTGTGCGTCGCGCTCAGGCTGAAGGGCGTGGCGTACGAGTTCCTGCAGGAGGAACCGGGCAAGAAGAGCGAGCTGCTCCTCGCGTCCAACCCGGTGCACAAGCAGATCCCCGTGCTCCTCCACGGCGGGAGGCCGGTCTGCGAGTCGCTCGTCATCTTGCAGTACGTCGACGAGGCCTTCTCCGGCGCCAGGCCGCGGATCCTCCCCGTCGACCCCTACGACCGCGCCGTCCACCGCTTCTGGGCCGAGTACGCCGACGCCAAGGTACAGATCCGCAGCCATTTCAGCTGGAAATCGAATGCTCCATCTCGTGGCTAATCTCCATGACTCGAAACCAAACTTGGGCAGCTCCCGACGGCGCTCCGGACGCTGAGGGGCATGATCGACGGCGACAAGGCCGCGGCGGCGGAGCAGGTGGCCGCGGCGCTCGCCCAGCTCGAGGAGGCCTTCACGGCGTGCAGCAAGGGGCAGCATTTCTTCGCCGGCGACGACATCGGATTCTTAGACATCGTCCTCGGGTCCTACGTCGGGTGGTTCCGGGCAGCGGAGCGGATCACCGCGCAGACGGTCCTCGACGAGATGAGAACGCCCCGGCTCGCGGCGTGGGCGGCGCGGTTCTGCGGGCACGAGTCCGTCAGGGACGTGATGCCTGACGCCGGAAGGCTCGTTGAGTTCGGCGAGGCGCTCCGCGCAGCGCTGGCCGCCAACGCCAACGCTCAACGGATGTAAGGGAACGTATTGCTCTTCCAGCCGTGCTAGGCTTGATTTGTCATGCGAATTGAAATATCTGAACAAATTATCAACGTCAGCTCTAGCCATTGACCTTACTGTTTAGAAATTGTTTGGAACACCGAGTTTTCATAGCTAAAAGAACTTAAGATCCACAGTTATCGTGCGAAATTCTTATGTGCCAAACGAAGACAACACTCGCATTCAGTCTCAAGCCGCTTTGCCCACTTTCAGCTCCATGGCTAGTGTTCATACACTGGGCCTGTTCGCTGGTTGGTGTTGGTGTTGGTGTTGGTGTTGGTGTTGGTGTTGGTGTTGGTGTTGGTGTTGGTGTTGGTGTTGGTGTTGGTGTTGGTTTGGGCTGGCTGGTGCTGGTTTTTTGTGAGAGGAAAACACTATTGGCTGGCTGATTTGGGCTGGCTGAAACCAACAAACGAACAGGCTGACTACCTATAGTAGGACGACTGGATGAGAGCTTCATTCAAACGGCTTCATGCTACAGTAAAACTTGACAGAGAAGTTTGAGTCCTTTTGAACTATGGCCTTGTTTAGACCACCTCTAAATTCCAAGTTTTTTCACTCTCTCCATCACATCAATTTTTGGACACATGCATGGAGCATTAAATGTAGGTAAAAAAAATAACTAATTACACAGTTTGGTTGTAAATCACGAGATGGATCTTTTGAGCCTAGTTAGTCCATGATCGGACAAAGTTTGTCAAATACAAACGAAACGTGCTATAGTGTCCAGGTTGCAAAAATTTGCAATCTAAACAAGACCTATGCCAAAGAAGCCCTCGACACTAAATAAGTCACCCGTCCATGGTAGTATAATTCTACTGTTCCATCTATCCTGAAATACAAGGTACCAAAAGTTCAAAATCTGTCTCAAATCATAAGGTATTCCGGATTGCCCAACCCCATCTATATGTGCTTGACTTTTAAACCAATCCATACATGTCTTTAAACATCATCTTGCGCAAAAATGACTTCTATAATTGGTAGCCGAAACCAACGACATGCATGCATGTCTTTTTTAAACTACAGTATGTGTTACTAGGAAATTAAACAAGTTGACAACCAAGCTAACTAATTAGTGAATGGCAAGTTAGTCTTTTACCAACCTTCTTATTTGGTCCTAAAATTGCTTGATTGCATGCCTTGCATTTCAGGATTGAATGAGTAGTAAATATACAACTCTACTACCAAATAGTTTTAGGGTTGCCTTTGCGACAATTCAAATTTTGCACCATCGGATCTCTAAATCAACGGTCACGATAAATTCTCTTCCCACCTTATCTCTTCTCAACATCCTCTACCCATGCGGTGCACATCCACCCTCGACCACAACCCTCTTCTAGTAGGCGCACACAGCCTCGTCGGCATGTCTGGCACCTAGGAGGCCCACCCACTATAGCCATCTGTCCTTCCTTCTCCTAGCATCGATGGGTGCTCACCCCACCATCCTTCCCATCTCTAGCGGCTCTTTCTACCGACAAATATCCCATTGTTGTGGTCGCTCCCATGCTAATTCATCGGCTGTGATCAGGTCGACATTTGTGACCGCCCTCGCCCCTACATAATCAAATCGGTGAGCGACACCACCATTGTCTTGACTGCGGCCACTGCCTGCTTCCATGCTACGCTGGAGCTCCCTCTAGGTCCACTAGAGACAGATATGCACCTTCCACAAACCTCATAACACTTAAAGATCATCGTCGGAGCTCGTCAGAGTAGGGGACATTCATCCATTAGCCAAGAAAATTGGATACGTGTAACACCCCTGGTGTTACGAGCTTGCTTAACACCGAAATTTAGGACCAAGAAGGATTAGCTTAACAAGTTTCCGGGTTTTAAAAATTTATAACGCACGTGAGGCGGAAAACAATTTCTATGAACAAGGATCAAACATAACTTGTATTTAGTACTAAAATAAAAATTGAAGTACAAGTTTAGTAGATGGAAAGGCAACTTTAACTTTTGAAAAATATATGTTGTTAACTAGTGTCGGTGCGAAAAGTGACCAACACGTAAATATTTGTAGTTTTGTCGTACATTGTGATCGGATGTGGCCTAGCACTCAATGACACAAGGTTTATACTGGTTTAGGCAACGTACCCTATGTCCAGTTTGAGTTGGTCGGTGACTTTATTCCTGAGCCCAGGTGCTCGAAGTTTGCTGTGGGGTTACAAACGAGTGAGAATAAGATGGGGGGTGTTAGAGGTCCGGTCAGACTCTGGACTAAAGGGCCGAGAGTGACGGGAACTCCTACGTGCACTAAGTATTGGAATGTATGCTCTGTGTAGCTTTAGAGTTCTAGAGCCGTGAAGCTGTTCGAGTGCTCAGAATGTCTAAAGCTAGCAGAGTGAGAGTCGGAATCATCCCTCGTCATCGATCGTCCTTTTTAGGAGAGAGCGCAACCCCTTTTATAGGTGAAGGGGATGGCCTTACAAATGAGAGAGAGAGAGAGTGTGCCCTAGTCTTGTTGCCCACGCTGTTGGGTACAAGACGGTTTGTCGGCGCCCACAATACTGTTGATGTCCAGATGCATGTGGTAGGCTCTATCGTGTTCTTCTAGTACGACAAATGTCGGCGCCTACCATACTATAGGACAAATGTCGGCGCCCACAACACTGTTTGTGTTCTGACATGTCTAAAAGGTTGCAAAGTACCCTTCTGACATGGCCTGTCTGTACTGTCCTGCAGATGTGTAGGGTACGGTCCTAGGTAGCGCTGTTGACTTGAACGCCTTACCTTATCTGCTTCGGTAGATTTCTTGGGTCTTCATCGAGCAGGCGTCCTCGGCCGGTCGTTCCTAGTTGGCTCCGACCGCGCCGGTCGGAGAAAAGCCGTAAGCAGAGGTTCGATGTATTCCCGGTCGGAGAAGCGGGTCAGAGTCAGAAGCGAGCGTCGTTCCCTCCTTGGCCAGGCCTTTCGGTCGGAGAGGCAGGTCGGAGTCGAAAGCGAGCGTTGTCCCCTCCTTGGCCAGGCCTTCCGGTCAGAGACTGCATCGCTCTTTCGGCCTGTCGTTAGGTATCTGGACCGGCCCAGGAGTTGCGCGTCGTTCGCAACGTCGTCTGCTGGGCTGAGCTTTTGCTGGGTAGCAGGTCCATTAGGAACCCCGAGTTTATGAACCCGACAGGAGCCCTCGATTCCTCGGGCGATTCGGGTAGAATTGTCTAGGAATTTTTCGTTTTGACAGCGGGTTCGCGCGAGCGCACCCGGTGGGTGTAGCCCCTGAGCCCCCGGGCGATTCGGGTAGAATCGTCTGGGGGATTTTTCGTTTTGCCAGCTGGTGCGCGCGAGCGCACCGACTAGTGAGTCGGTTGGAGGCTGAGGATTTTGGTACTCTTTCCTAGGGCCACAGATTCCTGTGTTTCTGCCGTTCGAGGTGTTCGCCCCTGTTTGTCCCACCCGCGATCCATGCGGTTGGTTGATTTCGAGTCGGTGTCGGGCGACCTGAGCCCCTGAGCCCCGTTGGGTTCGGTAGGGGTTGGTCTAGTTCCATGCGTTACCCCGTTCGTGGTCTCTGCAACCGGAGGGGCTAAGCTAACATCGCTTGCCTCAATGGCTCGAGCGTTGCGCTTCGGTGAGCTCACTAACGGGCACATTCGAGCGGAATTCGGGTCCGTCGTTCATGACAGGGTCGGTACAGCCCTCATATGGCATTCCACTGCTCCTTAACCGCCTCTCGATAGATGCCCGGGTCATTCCGGAGACCGACTTAGGTGGCATGCTGGCCTCCCCTCGATGGAGATTATGTGGGCATGGCTCGAGGTTAGGATCAAACGAGAAGGTTGAGATGACCCTGTCTGCTTCTGGGCAGATCAGGCGAGGGCCGCTGGGGCTCATCTGTGTTTTCTCCCCTGGCTCTGTTTGGCATGAGGCGTCCTTGAGCCCTTCACGGGCCGGCCTTCGAACCCGGTCGGTTGTCGCTCATGTTGAATGAGGCAACTACCACTTTGTGACGCAACACGAAGCGTTGTGATGCATTAATTTGCATATGCAATGCTTTGGATGTATGGGATAAATGAGTGATTTGTATGAATGAATGTGTGAATGCGTGTATGAGAAAGGATGAATAAATGATTGTATGAATGAAAATAAAGAAAGATAGTTTGGTAAGGTTACCTTGATGACTCGAGTGATGGGTTTGAGGAGCTCTTTATCGGATATGTCCGAATGGGATCCGTGTCCATCATTCATGACGGAGTCGGCATAGCCCGCATGGAGCATCCCTCTGCTCCTTACCTGTCTCTCGGCATTTGCCTGAGCCATTCGGTCGACTCAGGAAGCCCATTGGTCTCTCCTTCGATGGAGATCCCATTGTTGGGCCCTTGCAAGTCCTGCCTAGGAAGGCGGAGGGTTGTTTGCGCGCGGTTGCGCCTTGTTTCCTGCGCCCGGCGTGCGGTAGTGGGGGGCCATGCCTAGGCCACGTCCTGTTTAACCAGGAATCATTTCATTGGGTAGGGCCTCATCCCATCAGTCAAGACGTGTCCCACCACATGCCTATCCGCATTAAATAGGGGAAGGGAGAGGGTTTTTCGCTCCAATCCTTCGCCTTTCTCCCACTGCTGTGTCTCCTCCTTAAATAGGGGAAGGGAGAGGGTTTTGGTCCCAATCCTTCGTCTTTCTCCAACTGCTGCGTCTCCTCCTTAAAGAGGGGAAGGGAGAGGGTTTTGGTCCCATTCCTTTGCCTATTCTCCAACTGCTGCCTCTCCTCCTTCTTCCTTTTCGCCAAGCCTGTTCACGCGCCGCGGCGGTTCCGAGGAGAAAGAGGGTAAAGCGAGGGAGAGGAGAACTCACAGATCTGTTCATGAATCCGAAGCGCAATGTCGAACTGAAGGTCATCCACTGTTGATGAGGTGGTGTTGGACACCTTCGCCGAGAAGGGGCTGCTTCCACCGAAGAAGGTGGCGCACTGGAGGGCTCCTATGTCGGGGAAGGCTGTTCTGCAACCTCGGCCAATGAGGTTGTCTCCTTCCTCGCCTTCCATGAGC